CATCTTCATCACTGTTTTTTTGTTTGCACCCTAACCTCACTGCTCCGGGATGACTAGAATACAGTCTTTGGCACAGCATAGCACTACATCAATTAAAGAGTGTTTTTCCAACCATCTTAAAAACATGTGAAAACATTTTATTCCATGTACAATAATGTACACAAGTTTAAGGTGGCCATGAAAGAGACCAGCAAATATTCGAGGTATATTTACAGTAGCACATACCACAGTAAACAACCACCATTCACAGACTCAACATTGAGATACTGCTGTTGTGCTTAAGTAGAATAACTACAAAGTGATAATTTTATTCTGTTGAAGTCAATTTTAAACAAATACCTCAAGGTTTAGTAAAGGACATTTTAATCACCAAGAGAATTAGAGTCAACATTAAGAGTCTCATTCAAGTGCTGTTCCACACAGTCATCCTCTTCCTCGTCACTGTCCGAACTGTCGTTATCTTCATTTAGGTCATTTTCAGCATCAGCAGCTTCTTCTGCAACTTGCCCAGGGTTTTCGTTTGGTGCCGCAAAGCCGCTGTTGTTAGGGATATTGGCATTTTCTTTGTCCTCAATATATACTTTCTGATGGCACATGGGGCACGTGTCCTGAATATAGAGCCACTTCCGCAGACAAAGTGCATGAAAATAATGATTGCAGGGAGTAATGCGAGCAGACGTGGTAAACTCGTGGTAGCAGATTGCACACACATCATCTATGTCGTGTAACCGGCTGCCTTTGATCTCGGGAAGGGAGTTGATTTTCTTCACAGCTGTCCTGCGATTTATAAAAGTCTTCCAGCCATTCCTCGCTTGCAAGTAAATGTTGAAGTAAGCATGGAGACACATCATGCACGCGCGAATCTTACTCCCCGATTCAAAAACCATGGTATACGCTCCATTCCCAAACATAATTACTCCGAATATAAACTCAATAATATTGCCCGTTGAACGAACATAGTAGACATAATCATCAAGTTTTTCCCATAGCACATTATAGTAGCCATCAATCATAAACAATATATAAACTGTAATAGAAACTATGACTTTTAGGCAAAGCTCTACACAGAAGGCTGTAACTGCAAAAAGCCACGTGTTTAGTGCATAGTGGTGCCAGAGGACGTAGCTGAGCAGAACCGGGAGGATGAAGAGACAAGCTGAAACAAACAGCACGGGGAAGTGTCTGCGAAACGACGACACGTGCGAGGCACTGAGAGACATGAGCACAGGGTCTGTCATCCCGTGGATAAAATGCAGGACTGCGGTTAACAAAAGGCACATGTTTCGACTCAGGCGAACTAATCTTTCTTCTGGTTTCAGTCCACTTAAACCAGTCTGGAGAGCCAAAATGAAGAACAACACGGGTGCTACAAAACCCAGCCTTTTGTCGTCTTCATCAGTCGATCCGATGAAGGCCAAGATGCCGAGGCCCAAGTAATGCGCTATGGAGGAAATCACCGCACTCATGCCTAGCACAGTTAAAGTAGAATCACACCCACTTATTATCAGACTGCAAATCAGTTCCCAACAATTATCCCATGATATTAAAAAGAATTTCTCTTCTGGATTAGTTTCTGCCATCTTTACAACATATGTTAATACCACAGCTTGCGCTGTAAGTCTTGTTAGCCAGAAGACACGTAGCACGGCTGGAAACCGAATCCTTTTCCACGTATCTTCCATCAATAGCTGTAATCCATAAATGCGATACATGTGCCTCACCAGCAGATAAACATATCTCACAGAGTAGTAGAACCATTTAATTTTCATAACCAAAATGGCTGCGGTGTTCAACATCAGAACCAGGCCCGAAATAAAAACGAGCATCTGTCGGACGTGTAAAGGTAATTCAACCACCAACCCAATCACAGGGATCAATATATCCAGGATGATTAGCTGCGAGTGAACGGACTGCACGTTGAGCAAGGTGACATATCCAATTCCAAAGGTGAGCTGAAGGATGGAAAGCGCCATCCAGAGCGAAGGTCCTTTATGAGGGAGGAACTGAATTCCAAATGCTGCTGTGTAGTAGGCACTGTAGAAATTTATGTGCAAAGAAGCATAGTAATTCACCAACACTGAAGTTGCAGCCAGCAGAAACGCCGAGGCAATCATATAAAACTTGAAAAGTGCTCGCTGTTGTAAGACCAGAACAACACTGGATACAAAGACACCTGAAAACAGATTGACAGCATTTAGTTCTCAGCAGAAACTGCACAGAAGAACCCCCCTACGTATTAGTTTTTGAGCTACAATCATTTAATGTATCGCTTTCAAATTCCTCCTATTAGCCTCTGTTCAAACCTCACATTGCTGACGGTGCCTTTTCCACAGGACAACAGAACCACTTAATCTGCATTTAATACGTCAGCGCACGGCAGCTGCGGCCCAAAGGCAACGCACACGGCCACAGTCGTCAGGCTTATCTGCAGTTTCAATCTACAGCAGTGACAACTTCGCTTTTCTATTTAAAGTTACTAAATTCTACTCATTTATCCTGCCTTAAGAACATTAATTCACCTAAGTAGTGAACTAGCATCCAAGCTACTCTCAGAACTAAACTGTCTCCAGAAGAGGTGAGCCAAATCCTGTCACTAAGTAGGGGCATGAGTCAGTTGCAAAGCGTGATGCAAAGAGTTTATCCCAGGTTAACGACTTTCATACCTTCTTGAAATTACTCTGAAGCAAACCCTGCTGAGTCAGGCATTGTGAAAAATCATGTTGCTGTAGCTAATAACAAGCTTCTCCTTCCCCCATCCCTGAAGGGGGAACTGAAATGAAATGAACAGCAGCAAAAAGGTCTTCACTGTTTTTTTTCCTCCAGTTGATACCAATAAAATAAGCAAAATAATAAAAGTACTGAAGGTAAAATGGACACATAACTACTAACATAGAGTAAAAAGGTTTTGTTCCATCGAATATGGTACTTTAACATTGTTACTATGGGGATTTCAAGGTTTTCATCTAAATAAAAATCATGGCTAATTATTACCAGTTACCCTTATACTGCCAATAATATGTCAGTGAACAAATTGCCACAAGAGGCACCATGCTGAAAGATGAGGAACAGGGGAACTACTCTGGCCACACTGTTTAAAGCTGGACAGAGAGCTCACTGCTATGATATCAAGTAATTTCATAAGGTCTCATTTTTAACTTTTATTGATATCCGGTTACTTTTGTTGTACAGAAGGCACAATGATGTTTATAGCAGTAAAATATTTTAATTGCATCTCACACCTTTTTGGCATTTTTAATGCAACCATCAAACCACTGACAAATGGCTGTAGCTTACTCTGGAGGAAGAGAGGGGAGGAAGGACACGCTCTCCGCAGTTCCTGCTTGTGTTTCTGTTAAGACAACCCGAACCAAAAGTCACACGGGAAGAGCTGCAATACAACCGCTTTGTGCATCAAATCCCAAGCTGCACCACTGACTGCTTTACCAAATACTAGTGTAAACTTGGACCTACCTGCTACCACTCAGATTTGGATCCTGAAGCTGCTCTTTGCTAACCTTAACCTTTGCCTGCGAGTGCCCAGGGACACACTTGACCCATGAGGCTGCAGTTTCCCAGCACCTCTGTGTGACACTTGTCCTTGCCATTCTCTAACAAGGAATTTCAACCTGTGCCCTACTCCAGCATGCTGAATGACATAGCACATTTGACTATGTTGCCCGGTACTTCCTTAAGCATTTTCTCTCCAGCAAACGCCTTTTTTTTGGGCCTCTCAGTCAGCTTCCAGTCTATGCAACTGCTCACATATCAGAGTAAACACCTCTGGGTAAATTAACATTAGTGACAAGCTTTTCCCCCTTTCTCTTCCCTAGCAAGTCACTAAAAACACCCAAATAACATCATCTTTATTTATATAATTTCAATGCTTTTTGTCAACTGAGATGCACTTTGTACTGACCAAGCAGCTCTGAAAAATACCTTAACAAGTTACAAAATCTGTTTCTCTTCCTTGCAGCTGTAGTAACAAGTCTGTACTTAAATACTATAGGTCATCTTAAAATACTGACCTTTTGCATGCAACCCACATACCTAAAACCAGTCCTATAATGAGTCATAGAAAGAAGATCACACTCACTCGTCCCCATGGAGAGGGCCTAGCGAAATAGTAGCGTTTCTCTAGCAAAACTTCTGCGGAAAAGGCCCCTGAAGGAACCCCCAAAGCTCCGCATGGTGACTGAAATACTAGAATTCTGATAGAATTCAATTTTCAGTCAAATACAGCATCCAGCTACCTCCACACAGTAATATTTTAATCACGTGGAACTGCCAAACGCTTGTTTTCCTAGTGCCAGGTGTTCTGTTTCCTTCTGCATCTTTGTGCAAAGCACAGTATTTATAGTGACTACCAGAGGTCAGCAACCCCACCGAGAGACCAGGTTTTGACACAACTGTTTTATAATCCAAAAGCGAGGTGGAGGTTTGCTAGTAGCCGCTTATGAAATCTGCAGATACGAAAGGTAAACAGCCTGCACAGGACACAAAGCAAGGTTAACCAGGAGCAGAGAGGGGGGAAAAAAAAGCGCTACCATTTTAGAACTTATTCGTGTTGTTTATAATCCAATTGAGTTACTTCATGGAAAGTGAGAGGGGAAGAAAATAAATCAAGCCACCCGAGGAATCCTAGAGGCAACTTAAAAAAAAAAAATCCCCATTTATCATTCTCAAAGCAAAATACACACCCAGAATATTTCTGAACTGTTCAACATCACCCCTAAAATTTATCAAATACCTCTAAATATTTATGGGGAAGTTGTTTGCTTATCCTGTTCCTAATAGAACTTTGCTATGGAAAAGTTAGATCAGCCTTTCAAAGGCTGGATGTGACAACTAAGAGGGACAGCTTCCCCAGTATTTAGATATAGGATGATCCAAAATAAGCAATTCAGTTTATCTCAGCAACTCCTCCTTTGTAATCCTTAAACTTGACAAGGAAGATATATGCAATATAGGATGATCCAAAATAAGCAATTCCGTTTATCTCAGCAACTCCTTTGTAATCCTTAAATTTGACAAGGAAGATATATGCGTAAGCCTGAACCACATAAGTGTTTAACACCAGCTTTAGGTGGTTACATATTGAGTTTTACTTAATTTTGAGAAGCCAAGAGTCCTGGATAATTTTATGAACTTAAGGTACACTATTATTTGGTATCATATACTGTTCCCAAAGCTTTCCTGCAGGGGGTAGGGATTACCCACCTCGTTCCTCAAACCCTTCCAGAAAAGTGATCACATGAACACAATCCTGAAGAGCTCCTTTCTTTAATCATGTAATCTCGTTACCATACACTCAAGAGAGATGATCTAGTAACACATCCTCCACTCCCATTTATGTGGGCTTAATTTCAAGGCACTTCCTACAGCACCCGGATCACGCACGGAAGGACTTTGTTTTCATAAAGCCCCACAAATCAGTCACTGTGTCACAGGCCTCCAAACACGCGATCTGTTTCATACTCTCCTCCTTGCCTTCCTGCCCGAGGATCCCAGGATAACTCCACACCACGAGGCCAGCTCTTAGCACGACGCTGTTTATAACCCACTGAGCCCAACGCTGCATAGAAGAACCTCCCATTACATTATATGCAGTACTGAAAATAGCCTCCATTAGTGATTTATGGAAGTGACTTTCAGCCCTCACCTCAGGATTTAAAAGAATAAAAAATAATTTAAAATAATTTTAAGTTTCAAGAGACCTCTCAATTTCTGTTTCACTTGGAAATCGAGTTTCGAGCATTTTTGAGCCACCATTCCTAAAATAAGGGGTTTAGCAGCACGTTTCAGTACATCACTGCCCAAGTGTGTCCAAGATCGGGTTTTTTTTTTTTTTTTTTTTCTTTTTTTATTCCCCAACCAGGACCCCCGGGAACCTCCCCCGGG